TCGTCGACCAGGTCTCCTGGTTGCCGGACTGATCAACCAGGCTGTTGGACGCGGCTGCTCGCAGCCTGACGTATGAGTCACAGCCTGGTTGATCAGGTATCCTTTGGAGGTGCTTATCCAGTTCTCTCTTGAACACTGTGAGGGGTCGGCCAGTTATGCCCCTTATGTGTAGTGGAAGCGTGTTGAACAGTCTCGGGCCTCTGATGTTGATAGAGTTCTCTCTCAGAGTACCTGTTGCACCTTTGCTTTTCAACGAGGGTATTCTGCACATCCTGCCATGTCTTCTGGTCTCATGTGATGTTATTTCTGTGTGCAGGTTTGGGACCAGCCCCTCTAATATTTTCCACGTGTAAATTATTATGTACCTCTCTCGTCTGCGCTCAAGGGAGTACAGTTTTAGGCTCTTTAGTCAGTCCCAATAGTTTAGATGTTTTACTGAGTGGATTCTAGCAGTAAAGGATCTCTGCACGCTCTCCAGGTCAGCAATTTCTCCAGCTTTGAAAGGGGCTGTCATTGTGCAGCAGTACTCCACTCTAGAGAGCACGAGCGTTTTGAAAAGTATCATCATCGGTATAGCATCTCTAATGTGAAAAGTTCTTGTTATCCAACCTGTCATTTTTCTAGCATGTGGACACTTTGATCCCTACTGGCACACTGACCATGGATCATGTATACTGACACCGAGCATACTAACACCCGGAACATACTAACACCCGGAGCATACTGACACCCGGAGCATAATGACACTCGGAGCAAGGGAGCCGGTCGGCCGAGCGGACAGCACGCTGGACTTGTGATCCTGTGGTCCTGGGTTCGATCCCAGGCGCCGGCGAGAAACAATGGGCAGAGTTTCTTTCACCCTATGCCCCTGTTACCTAGCAGTAAAATAGGTACCTGGGTGTTAGTCAGCTGTCACGGGCCTGGCGGGTGGAGGCCTGGACGAGGACCGGGCCGCGGGGACACTAAAAAGCCCCGAAATCATCTCAAGATAACCTCAAGTTAACCCTGACCCTCGGAGCATCCTGACACCCAGACTCCCGGAGCATCCTGACCCTCGGAGCATCCTGACACCCGGAGCATCTTGACACCCGGAGCATCTTGACACCCGGAGCATACTGACACCCGGAGCATACTGACCCTCGGAGCATCCTGACACCCGGAGCATCCTGACACCCGGAGCATCTTGACACCCGGAGCATCCTGACACCCGGAGCATCTTGACACCCGGAGCATCTTGACACCCGGAGCATACTGACACCCGGAGCATACTGACCCTCGGAGCATCCTGACACCCGGAGCATCCTGACACCCGGAGCATCCTGACACCCGGAGCATCTTGACACCCGGAGCATCTTGACACCCGGAGCATACTGACACCCGGAGCATACTGACCCTCGGAGCATCCTGACACCCGGAGCATCGTGACACCCTGAGCATCCTGACACCCGGAGCATCCTGACACCCGGAGCATCCTGACACCCGGAGCATACTGACACCCGGAGCATACTGACACCCGGAGCATACTGAACCCCGGAGCATACTGACACCCCCGGAGCATACTGACACCCCCGGAGCATACTGACACCCCCGGAGCATACTGACCCCCGGAGCATACTTGCACCCCCGGAGCATACTTGCACCCCCGGAGCATACTTGCACCCCCGGAGTATAATGACCCCCAGAGCATACTGACACCCGGAGCATACTGACACCTCCGGAGCATACTGACACCCGGAGCATACTGACATCTCCGGAGCATACTGACACCTCCGGAGCATACTGACACCTCCGGAGCATACTGACACCCCCGGGGCAAACTGACACCCCCGGAGCATACTGACACCCCCGGAGCATACTGACACCCCCCGGAGCATACTGACACCCGGAGCATACTGACCCTCGGAGCATACTGACACACCCGGAGCATACTGACACCCCCGGAGCATACTGACACCCCCGGAGCATACTGACACTCGGAGCATACTGACACCCCCGGAGCATACTGACACCCCCGGAGCATACTGACACCCCCGGAGCATACTGACACCCCCGGAGCATACCGACACCCCCGAAGCATACCGACACCCCCGGAGCATACTGACACCCGGAGCATACTGACACCCCCGGAGCATACTGACACCCCCGGAGCATACTGACACCCCCGGAGCACACTGACACCCCCGAAGCATACCGACACCCCCGGAGCATACTGACACCCCCGGAGCATACTGACACCCTCGAAGCATACCGACACCACCGGAGCATACTGACACCCACGGAGCATACTGACATCCGGAGCATACTGACACCCCCCGGAGCATACTAACACCCCCGGAGCATACTGACACCCCCGGAGCATACCGACACACCCGGAGCATACTGACACCCGAAACATACTGACACACCCGGAGCATACTGACACCCGGAGCATACTGACACACTCGAAGCATACTGACACCCCCGGAGCATAATGACACCCGGAGCATACTGACACCCCCGGAGCATACTGACACCTCCGGAGCATACCGACACACCCGGAGCATACCGACACACCCGGACCATACCGACACACCCGACCATACTGACACCCGGAGCATACCGACACACCCGGAGCATACTGACACACCCAGAGCATACTGACACACCCGGAGCATACTGACACACCCGGAGCATACCGACACACCCGGAGCATACTGACACACCCGGAGCATACTGACACACCCGGAGCATACCGACACACCCGGAGCATACTGACACACCCGGAGCATACTGACACACCCGGAGCATACCGACACACCCGGAGCATACCGACACACCCGGAGCATACTGACACACCCGGAGCATACCGACACACCCGGAGCATACCGACACACCCGGAGCATACTGACACACCCGGAGCATACCGACACACCCGGAGCATACTGACACACCCGGAGCATACTGACACACCCGGAGCATACTGACACCCGGAGCATACCGACACACCCGGAGCATACCGACACACCCGGAGCATACCGACACACCCGGAGCATACTGACACACCCGGAGCATACTGACACACCCGGAGCATACCGACACACCCGGAGCATACCGACACACCCGGAGCATACTGACACACCCGGAGCATACTGACACACCCGGAGCATACCGACACACCCGGAGCATACCGACACACCCGGAGCATACCAACACACCCGAGCATACTGACACACCCGGAGCATACCGACACACCCGGAGCATACCGACACACCCGGAGCATACTGACACACCCGGAGCATACCGACACACCCGGAGCATACCGACACACCCGGAGCATACTGACATACCCGGAGCATACTGACACACCCGGAGCATACCGACACACCTGAGCATACCGACACACCCGGAGCATACTGACACACCCGGAGCATACTGACACACCCGAGCATACCGACACACCCGGAGCATACCGACACACCCGGAGCATACTGACACACCCGGAGCATACCGACACACCCTGAGCATACTGACACACCCGGAGCATACTGACACACCCGGAGCATACTGACACACCCGGAGCATACCGACACACCCGGAGCATACCGACACACCCGGAGCATACCGACACACCCGGAGCATACTGACACACCCGGAGCATACCGACACACCTGGAGCATACTGACACACCCGGAGCATACTGACACACCCGGAGCATACCGACACACCCGGAGCATACTGACACACCCGGAGCATACTGACACACCCGGAGCATACCGACACACCCGGAGCATACTGACACACCCGGAGCATACTGACACACCCGGAGCATACCGACACACCCGGAGCATACCGACACACCCGGAGCATACTGACACACCCGGAGCATACCGACACACCCGGAGCATACTGACACACCCGGAGCATACTGACACACCCGGAGCATACTGATACACCCGGAGCATACTGACACACCCGGAGCATACTGACACACCCGGAGCATACTGACACACCCGGAGCATGGAGGAAGTACATCGAGGCAAGGATAATTAATAAATGGCACCCGTGCCAACAGCTCGGAGAGGCAATCCTTATTATTTAAATACCTAAATTATTTTAGGTATTTAAATATATTATTTGAATACCTAAAGGGGTACCACCTTAGTGCAAGTGTAGGGACCCATAGCCTCGGAGAAGAAAATAAAGAGTACTCAGAGAAGACCTTGTGGATCCTCACTGAACACTTTGATATTTTCTTCTCCTACCACCCCTATTCTTTTGGTATGTGTGTATATATATATCTAACTTTATTTTAAAATGTCATCACACAAAAAGGGGTTACAACATTGGTTACGTGCAGGGTACAAGGTTACTTGTCACAAGTTGTAGAGCTCCTCCAGCTCCTCAGATGGCGGGCAGGGACCATGGATGCAGTGAGCATTTCCTCTCTGGATCGCCACACTAAGGCGCTGAAAGAGAAACTGGCAGCTCTAGGGTCTCTAGTTGTTTCGATTAGCTTAGACCCCAACTCCTTCAAAAAACTAGCAGCACTTTTACCGCAGGCACCAAGTGTCTCTGAGGCAATGGGGACAAAATTGAAGTGGTGATCAAGGTCTCTGTATTTACGTGACTTGGCTGCTTCCCGGTGATTGGCAGCACCTCCTGCCTGTGCAGCACTTAAGCCAACATAGGTGTTGGCTAAAGTTGAAATGTAAGAGTAGTCCCACACCAACTGTCTACCATTCTTCCAGTGTTCACCGTGATCCCGTCTGGGCGACAGACAGGCTCATCAGAGTTGCGGGGCATTAGGTAACGGGGCTCTCTCTCTGCTGGACAAACGACCGTTGTAAGGTTTCTCATAATAATGTCGTTAACCTCGCCGTGTCTTGCATATTATATATATATATATATATATATATATATATATATATATATATATATATATATATATATATATATATATATATATATATATAAAAATACATAATGTGTGTTTATGTAGAGACGCTAAAAGAGAGACTGACCTGTCACAAGGAGGAGGGAGGGTGGAGGCCAGAGCGGCCGTCCCCGTAGCGGCCAGCAGCACCACTAGCACCCCGGCGCTCCCACGCCAGCCACGCACTCTAGCCATCATCACCTGTAACGCAAAAAGAGAGGGTAACAGAAATTAGAAAATCAACAACGGCTCTCAAAATGCTCTTCGTCTAGAGTTATATATTACTCGCTCTTATTGGGACCCATTGTATGTTTTCTTACCTATTCTGGATGTTTATGTACTGTAGAACTATTATATATGTGCCAGTTAAGTTACAGGATTAAGAAAATCACAAGCAGCCAACTTCAAGAAAATAAACTTGGTTGAATTATTGTCATATGCTGAGAGCGAGAGATAGAGAGAGAGAGAAAGAGACGGCACAAAGCCCTGTGCTTCATTCTTGAGCCCTATGGTTCATCCGTGAGCCCTATGCTTCATCCGTGAGCCCTATGCTTCATCCGTGAGCCCTATGCTTCATCCTTGAGCCCTGTGCTTCATCCGTGAGCCCTATGCTTCATCCGTGAGCCCTGTGCTTCATCCGTGAGCCCTGTGCATCATCCGTGAGCCCTATGCTTCATCCGTGAGCCCTATGCTTCATCCGTGAGCCCCATGCTTCATCCGTGAGCCCTATGCTTCCTCTTAGGGCCTTATCCTTCACCCGTGGGCCTTGAGTAACATTGGGACGAGTCGGGTCTGCACCGAATGCGACATGACAATGTTGCAAATTCCCAGAATGCAACAGCGCATGACGTTATCACCGTCTGCACCGTAATCGAAGCCCAGGAATTGCAATCATAGTACGGAGGGAGGGAGGAGAGGGAGGGAGGGGAGGGAGGGAGGGAGAGAGAGAGAGAGAGAGAGAGAGAGAGAGAGAGAGAGAGAGAGAGAGAGAGAGAGAGAGAGAGAGAGAGAGAGAGAGAGAGAGAGAGAGAGAGAGAGAGACAGAGACAGAGAGAGACAGAGAGAGACAGAGAGAGAGAGAGACAGAGAGACAGAGAGAGAGAGAGAGAGAGAGAGAGAGAGAGAGAGAGAGAGAGAGAGAGAGAGAGAGAGAGAGAAGATGAGAGAGAGAGAGACAGAGAGAGAGACTAGAGAGAGAGAGAGAGAGAGAGAGAGAGAGAGAGAGAGAGAGAGAGAGAGAGAGAGAGAGAGAGAGAGAGAGAGAGAGAGAAGAGAGAGAGAGAGAGACAAAGAGAGAGAGAGAGAGAGGGCGAGAGACAGAGAGATGAGAGAGAGAGAGATAGGTAGAGTCGCAGAGAGAGAGAGAGAGAGAGAGAGAGAGAGTAGATAGCAGAGATGAAGAGGAGAGAGAGAGAGTAGGGAATAGAGAGATAGAGAGAGATAGTAGAGGAGCAAAGAGACTGAGAGAAGATAGAGAGAGAGACAGAGAGAGAGAGAGAGAGAGAGAGAAGAGAGCTATCATAGAGGAGAGAGAGAGAGAGATAGAGAGAGAGAGAGAGAGAGAGAGAGAGAGACAGATAGAGAGAGAGAGAGAGAGAGAGAGAGAGAGAGAAGAGAGAGAGAGAGAGAGAGACTAAAAATAGGCAACAAATTGTACAAATAGGTAAGTTACTCAACATATTTGTACACTCTACAGTTTCCAATTTTAACTAGACATTAATCCCCAATGCTCAATACATCTCTATGATGTTTGTTGCTCGCACTGGTATGAAAAAAAAAGAGAGGATTACGCAGTCACTGTCATGAGTTACGTGTTGCCCTCACTATAGCTGCTGGCAGCCCTTACTAGCTGCTGGGAGTCTTCACTATAGTTGCTGGGACCCCTCACTATAGCTGCTGGGAGCCCTCACTATAGCTGCTGGGAGCCCTCACTATAGCTGCTGGGAGCCCTCACTAGCTGCTGGGAGTCTTCACTATAGCTGCTGGGAGTCCTCACTAGCTGCTGGGAGCCTTCACTATAGCTGCTGGGAGCCCTCACTATAGCTGCTGGGAGTCCTCACTAGCTGCTGGGAGCCTTCACTATAGCTGCTGGGAGCCCTCACTATAGCTGCTGGGAGCCCACACTAGCTGCTGGGAGCCCTCACTATAGCTGCTGAGAGCCCTCACTATAGCTGCTGGGAGCCCTCACTATAGCTGCTGAGAGCCCTCACTATAGCTGCTGGGAGCCCTCACTACCTGCTGGCCGCCCCTCACCACCTGCTGGCCGCCCCTCACTACCTGCTGGCCGCCCCTCACTACCTGCTGGCCGCCCCTCACTGCCTGCTGGCCGCCCCTCACTGCCTGCTGGCCGCCCCTCACTACTGCTGGCCGCCCACACTACCTGCTGGCCGCCCCACACTACCTGCTGGCCGCCCCTCACTACCTGCTGGCCGCCCCACACTACCTGCTGGCCGCCCCTCACTACCTGCTGGCCGCCCCACACTACCTGCTGGCCGCCCTCACTACCTGCTGGCCGCCCCACACTACCTGCTGGCCGCCCCACACTACCTGCTGGCCGCCCCACACTACCTGCTGGCCGCCCCTCACTACCTGCTGGCCGCCCCACACTACCTGCTGGCCGCCCCTCACTACCTGCTGGCCGCCCCTCACTACCGGCTGGCCGCCCTCACTACCTGCTGGCCGCCCCACACTACCTGCTGGCCGCCCCACACTACCGGCTGGCCGCCCCACACACTACCTGCTGGCCGCCCCTACACTACCTGCTGGCCGCCCCCCCTCACTACCTGCCGCCCCTCACTACCTGCTGGCCGCCCCAACACTACCTGGCCGCCCCTCACTACCTGCTGGCCGCTGGCCGCCCTCACTACCTGCTGGCCGCCCCTCACTACCTGCTGGCCGCCCCACACTACCTGCTGGCCGCCCCTCACTACCTGCTGGCCGCCCCTCACTACCTGCTGGCCGCCCCACACTACCTGCTGGCCGCCCCACACTACCTGCTGGCCGCCCCACACTACCTGCTGGCCGCCCCACACTACCTGCTGGCCGCCCTCACTACCTGCTGGCCGCCCTCACTACCTGCTGGCCGCCCCACTACCTGCTGGCCGCCCCTCACTACCTGCTGGCCGCCCCACACTACCTGCTGGCCGCCCCTCACTACCGGCTGGCCGCCCCTCACCTGCTGGCCGCCCCACACTACCTGCTGGCTGGCCGCCCCACACTACCTGCTGGCCGCCCCTCACTACCTGCTGGCCGCCCCTCACTACCTGCTGGCCGCCCCTCACTACCTGCTGGCCGCCCCACACTACCTGCTGGCCGCCCCTCACTACCTGCTGGCCGCCCCACACTACCTGCTGGCCGCCCCACACTACACACTACCTGCTGGCCGCCCCTCACTACCGGCTGGCCGCTCCTCACTACCTGCTGGCCGCCCCACACTACCTGCTGGCCGCCCCACTACCTGCTGGCCGCCCCTCACTACCTGCTGGCCGCCCCACACTACCTGCTGGCCGCCCCTCACTACACTACACTACCTGCTGGCCGCCCCACACTACTACCTACCTGCTGGCCGCCCCTCACTACCTGCTGGCCGCCACACACTACCTGCTGGCCGCCCTCACTACCTGCTGGCCGCCCCACACTACCTGCTGGCCGCCCCACACTACCTGCTGGCCGCCCCACACTACCTGCTGGCCGCCCCTCACTACCTGCTGGCCGCCCCACACTACCTGCTGGCCGCCCCTCACTACCTGCTGGCCGCCCCTCACTACCTGCTGGCCGCCCCACACTACCTGCTGGCCGCCCCTCACTACCGGCCGCCCCTCACTACCTGCTGGCCGCCCCTCACTACCTGCTGGCCGCCACACACTACCTGCTGGCCGCCCCTCACTACCTGCTGGCCGCCACACACTACCTGCTGGCCGCCCCTCACTACCTGCTGGCCGCCCCTACCTGCTGGCCGCCCCACACTACCTGCTGGCCGCCCCTCACTACCTGCTGGCCGCCACAACACTACCTGCTGGCCGCCACTCACTACCTGCTGGCCGCCCCTCACTACCTGCTGGCCGCCCCACACTACCTGCTGGCCGCCCCACACTACCTGCTGGCCGCCCCACACTACCTGCTGGCCGCCC